AGCTCTCTAATTCGCCTTTTTCAAACAATTACGACAGCTAGCCTTTCTGGCTTTTAATTATGTTATCTAACTTCAAAAGTCTCTAAAATACTATCGACCTCAATATGTCTCCATACTTTACTGAACTTCAGTCCCCCCAAAGAGATCTTCTGTGGTAGGTAGTGTGTAGGATGGCCCCCAGTGATTCCAATCTCTTGGTATCCATGTTCTTGTGTAATTCCTTCCCCTTGAGTGTAAGCTGGACTCAACGGCTCACTTCTAATGAAAATAATACAGCCAAACTGATGGGATGTCACTTCTAAGGTTAGGTTATAAAAGACTGTGGCTTCCATCTTGGTCTTCGATTCTCTCTCTCTCTCTCTCTCGCAGATCACTAGGGCATTCAGGAAGCCTATGGAGAAACCCATGTGGTCTGCCAGCAACCACGCATGTCAGCTAGAAAGTGGATCTCTATTGCCCCAACTCCCCAATTAAGACTTCAGATGAAACCTCAACCCCAGCCAACAACTTGACTGCAACATCATTAGAGACCTTGAACCAGAAGCACCTAGCTAAGCCATGCCCAGAATCCTGATCCATATACACTGTGAGAAAATAAGTGTTGTTTTAAGTCACTCAGTTTTGGGGTAATTTGTTACACAGCAATAGATAAATAAGACAGTTACTCTTATTCATATTTCCTGGAAGCTTAATGAAACCCAAGGAAGATTAAAAAAGAATAAAATATGGGATTCATAATACAAACTATGTTCCATTTGTTTTCTCATACATTTATGAATTGTTGCATGATTTTTAAACTCAGGCCAACTAAATTCAGACAATAATTAATACTCACTGGAACGTCCCCAGGACTACAATTCTCATAAATTTAAATGGATTTCTCATGCTTACAAGATCAAAATGTGACCTGTATTTTGGACATGTTTCTCTGGAGAACCCTGACTAATACAGTGGGAAATTGAGAACATTCTGATGAGCAAAATGGCACAAAATTGGCTCAATCAAGGTACAGGTGCTTACAATATCAGAGACAATCTGTTCTGTATACATCACAGCTTTCTGGAGAATTCATAAATAACTAATATTGTTTTCTTTGATGACTTGAGCCAGCTGGCTCAAGGGCAGACTGCCTAGACTGACTGCTTTGCAAAATGCTGGCATCAGTTTCCCTCTAGAAAAGTGAACAAGACTCATAGTTTCTAGACACCCCACATTTCCCCCCTCTCCTTTATAAATCCATTTTTTTTACCTTGTTGACAATCACCTAAATCTCCTTCATATGAGTAAATTTGTTTGCATATAATTAACTGCCTCCATGTTCAGTTGTCAAAAGACTGAACCTGGGGCATTCCATTATTCAGAGATCAGGAAGCAGAGTGGTTACTGAGGATGTCAATGAAGTTGGAGAAACTAGAAGAAGGTAGCATTCTGCAAACCAAGAGAAGAAAGGGTTTCTAGAAGGAAGAGAGAGTAACGGTCAAATGCTGCTGAGTGGTTCAGTAAGAGCAGAACTGAGACTTCAGCACAGATTTGGCAACTCGGAAGTCATTGGTTATCTTCACAAGTGTGGTTTCAGTGGACTAGTGGGAACAAAAGCCTAATCGAAGTAGGATGAGGAGGGAATAGAGGAGAGGAAATACAGAACTTTTTTGGATCTGGTTGTGAAGGGAATCAGAGAAAAGAGATGTAGCTGGAGGGCCATGAGGAGGGAAGAAAGTGAAGGTTCATTTTTTTAAAAAATTTAATTTTTGGAACAGAATAGCTAATACTTTCAGATGATTAAAAATTACATATATAGGGGGCTGGCCCATGGCCAAGTGGTTAAAGTTCCTCACACTCTGCTTTGGTGGCCCGGGTTTGCAGGTTTGATTCCGGGTGCAGACCTACACCATTCATCAAGCCATGCTGTGGCAGCAACCCACATACAAAACAGAAGAAGATTGGCACAGCTGTTATCTCAGGGCTAATGTTCCTCAAGCAAAAAAAACCAGGAAGATTGGCAACGATCACTCTTCCTCATCAAAAAAAAAAAAAAAAAATCACATATAAAGTTACATATGAAAAGTCTCCCTCCCACTCCTGACCCCCATCTTCCCCTTAAAGGTAACTATTTTGTTTCTTATATATTCTCCAGTACTTTTCTTTATGCATATACAAGCAAATAATATTATTTGACTCTATATATATTTTTTTGCTTGAGGAAGATTAGCCCTGAGCTAACATCTGTGCCAATCTTCCTCTATTTTGTATGTGGGACACACTACAGCATGGCTTAATGAGCGGTGTGTAGGTCTCCACCTGGGGTGCCAAACCTGGGAACCCTGGGCCACCGAAGTGGAGCTTGTGAACTTAACAACTATGCCACCAGACTGGCCCCTATTTTTATGCAAAAGGCAGGAAACTAATGTGTAATATTCTCCAGCTAGCTTTTTTTTTTTTTTTTTTAACTAAACAATGTATTCATACAAGTATATCTAGAGGATAAACTTCCAGGAGTGGAATCCTGCTAGGTTAAAGGTATATGTTTTTGCAATATTGGTAGATATTTCTCAATTGCCATCCATAAGAGTTGTATCAATTTACACCCTAACCAGCAGTGTACTTCCCACAGTCTCATTGAGTGTTATCAACCTTTTTGACTTTCTTTTTTTTGGTGAGGAAGATTGGCCCTGAGCTAACGTTTATTGCCAATTGTCCTCTTTTTGCTGAGGAAGATTGTCCCTGAGCTAACATCTGTGCCCATCCTCCTCTATTTTGTATGTGGGATGCCGCCACAGCATGGCTTGAAGAGCAGTGCATAGGGGATTCAAACCTGCAGACCCTGGGGCCTCCAAAGCGAAGCACGCAAACTTAACTACTATGCCACCGGGCCAAGCCCCCAAACTTTTTGATTTTTAACAATCTCAATCATGGAAAATGATCTGATTTTTTTTTTTTCAGAGATGAGGACTAGGAAAGCATATTACTATGCCGTAGAAGAAAAGCCTGAATATGCCAGGGAGAGAGAGAGGAGGTAATTGCAGAAGCAGAATCCTTTACTAGGCTGGAGGAGTGGGATCCACTGCAGCGGTGATTCATTTAATAGGTACAGATGCATGGGGCTGTTCATACATTTTGGGGGTGGGATGAAGTGCAAGTCTCTTTGGATTGCCTCTGTTTTTCACGTGAAATAAGAGTCAAGGTCATAAGCTGAGCCAGGGAGGAGGTGTTGAAGATTTGAAGATTTGAGAGAAGAGATGTGAATTGCTTCTCTTAGAGAGTGGGAGAGTAGTCTGCTCAGGGAAACGAGGATTGTTGGGTAGCACTGAGGGTCGCCTTGAGGACTGCAGCCTTAACTAACTTACTTATTTATTTATTTATTTATGAAGATCAGCCCTGAGCTAATATCCATGCTAATCCTCCTCTTTTTGTTGAGGAAGACTGGCTCTGAGCTAACATCTATTGCCAATCCTCCTTTTTTTTTTTTCCCCAAAGCCCCAGTAGATAGTTGTATGTCATAGTTACACATCCTTCTAGTTGCTGTATATGGGCCGCGGCCTCAGCATGGCCGGAGAAGTGGTTCGTCAGTGCGCACCTGTGATCTCAACCCGGGCTGCCAGTGGCAGAGCGCCCACACTCAACCGCTAAGGCACGGGGCCGGCCCCTGCAGCCTTAAATTTAAAATGAAATTTGAAGAGCAAGGAACCACCATGGATGAAGACGACTCCTGCTTCAGGGAGATGTGAGTAAGAACAAAATTAAAAGCAAAGCATTCAGGGCCGGCCCCCGTGGCTTGGTGGTTGAGTGCGCGCGCTCCGATGCTGGCGGCCCGGGTTCGGATCCTGGGCGCGCACCGAGGCACCACTTCTCCGTCCATCCTGGGGCTGAGTCCCACATACAGCAACTAGAGGGATGTGCAGCTATGACGTACGACTGTCTACTGGGGCTTTGGGGGAAAAAAAAAAAAAAAAAAAAAAAAGCAAAGCATTCATCTAGCATTCATTTAACAAATATTTATGGGGCTCTCTTGTGCAGAGACACTGTTGCTGAGTGCTGGGTTGTCACTTAGAGCAAATCACAAGCATATTCAAGTTGGCTGTTCACACAAATTTGATTAAGGTAAGGTTATTCACTCTGCAAACAAAATTACAAAACGTCACCATAGGATCTCTTGACATGGATTGTACTTAAATTTGGGGAGGGGAGTTCTGACTCTTTTGATAGCCTGAACAAAAAAACTTCACAGAAGAGTATGCACATATACAAATTTGCAGGCAATTTCAGATGGGCATAGAACCACAAATTAAGAACCTCTCCCCCAAATTAAAGCCCTATTTTAAACCGTATTGTTAGTATATTTTGAATGATTCAGTTTACGCAAAGATTTCTATGAGCCACTTCAGGGTTGTGTATTGGACACCCCAGTAAGGATACAGATTTTGAAAACATTTTAGGTTTTAAAAAAGTTGCAAAAATAGTATAGAGTTCCCCTATACTTTTCACCTAGAATCCCTAACGATTAACTTTTACGTAACGACAGTACTATATGAAAACTGTTGATATGATACTATTAACTAATATTAGTTAATGGACCTTAATCAAATTTCGTCAGTTGTCTCACTCATGTCCTTTTCTGTTCCAAGATCCAACCCAGGATTTCACGTTGTGTTCGGTTGTCACTGACCTGGCTTTTTAAAAAAAAATTTAATCCAAGGGCTGTGTGTTCTTCCGCAAATTGCTGAATGTCTGAGTCTTGTTTTCCGTCCTAAAAGACGTGTTGTGATTAAAAGCCAATTAAAAATACATATGGAATGGCTTTCGAAATTTCAAAGGGAACTAAATAAATTTCTCTTACGGCGTAGAACCGGACCTATACGGTGTAGCTTTTCGTTCAAATTAAACAGAAAACAAACGGAAGCGTATTAATATTGCCGAGGTGTTTTGTCCCCAAGTAGGACCCGTCACTTCTCCCTCGGTCGCCGGGAGAGGCTTCTTCCCATTGGGCAGCGTGTGTCCACCCTGACGCAGGAAGGCCGCCTCATTGGCCCGCGCAGCCGGGACTCCCGCGGCTTTTCTCTTAGTGATCAAGGCGCCGACCCACTTCTCTCCCTCCAGCCGAGCGCTCCCTTTCTTCCGAGGTGCCCGGCGCTGCCAGCCCGAAGGAGTCCGGACTGAGTTTGGCGGGGTAACTGCTCTGAGGTCAGCGGAGAGATGCGGCGGGCCTGGAAGACGGGTGGGAGGTGGTGGAACAGGGTAGTCGGCGAGCCTGGGTAAGAGAGCCTTGTCTGCGTGCCCTCGCCCCGCGACGGTCTCCACAGTTCTGCCCCGCGTCCTTCGCTGGCCCGGCCTCCACCGGGCTCCACCAAAGGTTCTGCTCGCCCCTCCGCCGCCCTTCCGCTGGCACCGCCCTCAGCAGCCCCGCCTCCTCCGCGAGCCCTTCCGCGGGCCCCGCCCTCACCGCGCTCCGCTCAGCTGCCCCGCCTCCTCCGCGGGCCCCGCCCTCACCGCGCTCCCCCCAGCAGCCCCGCCTCCTCCGCAAACTCCTCCGCTGTCCCCGCCCTCACCGCGCTCCCCTCTGCGGCCCCGCCTCCTCCGCAAACCCCCCCGCCTGCCCCGCCC